CGGGCCCCGGGCCCCCCGGCAGGTCGCCCCCGCCAGCTCCAGCTCCCGGAGGGCAACAGCCCCAGTGTTGGGGGGAGGGCAGCAGCCCCAGAGCCAGGGAGGGAATTAGCCCCAGAACCAGGAGGGCAACAGCCCCAGAGCTGGGGGGAGGGCAGGATCCCCAGAGTATGTGTGTGGGGTGGGGGGAAGTCAGCAATCCCAGAGTGTGTGTGGAGGGGACAGAGCAGGCCCAGAGCTGGGGAGCAGCAGCCACAGAATGGGGGAGCAGCAGCCCTCTGGGGGGGAAGAGAGAGAGACAGCAGTCCCAGAGTATGTGGGGGAAACAGTGCCCCAGAGCTAGAGGTAGGGGCCTGCAGCCCCAAAACTGAGGGAACAGCAGCTCTGGAGCCAGAGGGACAATAGCCCCAGAACGGGCTGGGCAGCCGCAGTGCCATTGTGACAATAGCTCCAGAGCCGGGGGACACCCCAGAGTTGGGTGACAGCAGCTCCACAGCACGGGTAGCAGTAGCTGCAAATCCAGCCAGAGTTTTTGGCTATGAAGTTAGGAGAAAGTTTGGATGGCTAAAAGTTTGCAACTACCTTGAATCATGCTTAGGCATCCAATCTTTCTCCTAACTTGGCAGCTGAAAACTTTATTATTACTCTTTTGGTATGCTTTTAGAAAGACTGTCTTTTTAAAAAGTTTTGTATATTTTTTTTCGTTGGATTTGAATCTGGAATACCCTCACTCACATGAATTCTTACATTGGTAGATAGTCTTGTTAACCCATGGGACTGCTCATGTGAATAGGGGTTGACATCACCACCACCTCAGCTGTGGAGGGTATTGCTGTATTTAAGGTCTACAGCTGCGATTTACAAAAATGACTAGTGATTTTTTCAGTGCCCAACTTCAGAGGCCTGATTTTCAAAAAGCACCCCCTCAACAATTATTTTAAACATTTCGAGCCTATCAAAATGTCCTAAATTGGACAATCAAAATCACAGGTCACTTTTGAAAATCTCAGCCTATGCTTATACAGGTAAATAAAAAAGTCATTTAACAACATGCCAGGCAGTTTAAAAAAAAGGGGGGGGGGAGGTTACTTTAGAAAGCAAAAAAGAAACAATGTCAATGTTTTCTAAATAGAATTGCCTGGTGGGTGATGATGAAGAGTGGTGCAAAGGTAACAAAATAAACTTTTTAGATGCTGGTTAGCTGGCAGTGTTTTTATTTGGCTTAGTTTCAAGGGACTTAAGAACCTTTAGGAATCTCTGGCCAAGCAAACTGCATGAAAACTATGCCAAAATGCTGCTATTCTATGAGCCCTGGTCTACACTAGGGAGTTATTTCAAAATAACTCCCCTTATTTCTAAATAACAAGCAGAGAGTTCACTACCAAGCCTGTTATTTAGAAATAATGTACTTGCTATTTCAAATTAACAACTCCTGCTTGTGAAGAGGAATAAGCTTCTTTTAAAATTGTTATTTCGGGAGTTATTATTTTGAAATAAGTTGTGTCAAAATATCCTGGTAGTGATAGCCCATCAAACCCATTATTGTGAAAACAGGAGCTGGTTATTTCAAAATAATAACTCCTGCTTTCCACGAGGAATAACACTTATTTTCAATAGTTATTTCAAAATAGCGGTAGTATG